GGGGCCTGCCACGGCAGGTGGGCAACAAGACGGAGTGCGCGCTGCTGGGGCTGGTGCTGGCGCTGCGGCGGGACTACGAGGCTGTGCGGGCCCAGGTGCCCGAGGAGCGGCTCCACAAGGTCTACCCCTTCAACTCGGTGCGCAAGTCCATGAGCACCGTCACCCGCCTGCCTGCCGGCGGCTTCCGCCTCTACAGCAAGGGTGCCTCCGAAATCCTCCTGCGCAAGTGAGTCAGGGCGCGGGGAGGGGTCCGCGGCACCCCCCAACCCACCCTGGGGACGCCATAGGGAGGGGGACGCCTGTGAGGGGGCTCCGAGAGCCTCCTGTGCAGGAGACGAGGTGCTTGGCACCCCAAAACCATCTCTGGGGACCCCGTGGGGCAGCCTGGGGACACCATGGGGATGGGGACGCTTGGGCCCCCTAGGAAAGGGCCTCCAAGAACCTCCTGTGCAGGTGAGAGGGGTCCTGGCACCCCAAAACGACCTCTGGGGACACTGTGGGGACCCCATGGGGATGGCGACCCCCTGCAAGGGGCCTCCAAGAGCCTCCTGAACAGGTGAGGGGGGTCCTGGCACCCCAAAACGACCTCTGGGGACACTGTGGGGACCCCATGGGGATGGCGACCCCCTGCAAGGGGCCTCCAAGAGCCTCCTGAACAGGTGAGGGGGGTCCTGGCACCCCAAAACGACCTCTGGGGACACTGTGGGGACCCCATGGGGATGGCGACCCCCTGCAAGGGGCCTCCAAGAGCCTCCTGAACAGGTGAGGGGGGTCCTGGCACCCCAAAACCACCCTGGAGACACTACAGGGATGGGAAGACATGGGGACCCCCAGGCAAAGGGCTCCAAGAGCTTCCTGAGCTGGTGAGGACACCCCAAAACTCCCCCGGGGACCCTGTGGGGATGGACACACTTGGGGACACCTTGCAAGGGGTCTCCAAGACCCCCCGACCAGGTGAGGGGGATCCCAGCACCCCAAAACCCCCCTGGGAACACCACGGGGATGGGGACACCTTGCAAGGGGCCTGCTGCGGCGGCGCAGGGGGTCCTGTGGCAGCAGGGTGCCGGCGGCAGGTGCTGATCCCCGTCGTGCGCCCCTCCGTGCCCGCTCTGCCCAGGTGCTGCGCCATCCTGGGGGGCGGCGGGGAGGCGCGGGCCTTCGGGCCGCGGGACCGCGAGGACGTGGTGCGGAAGGTGGTGGAGCCCATGGCGGCGGCGGGGCTGCGCACCCTCGCGCTGGGGGCACTGGGAGGTGCTGAGAGGCACTGAGAGGCACTGGGATGAGCACTAAGAGCACTAGGAGGTGCTGGGAGGCACTGGGATGGGCGCTGGGGGCACTGGGAGGTGCTGAGAGGCACTGAGAGGCACTGGGATGAGCACTAAGAGCACTAGGAGGTGCTGGGAGGCACTGGGATGGGCACTGGGATGAGCACTAGGAGCACTAGGAGGTGCTGGGAGGCACTGGGAGGCACTGGGATGAGCACTAGGAGCACTAGGAGGTGCTGGGAGGCACTGGGAGGCACTGGGATGAGCACTAGGAGCACTAGGAGGTGCTGGGAGGCACTGGGAGGCACTGGGATGAGCACTAGGAGCACTAGGAGGTGCTGGGAGGCACTGGGAGGCACTGGGATGAGCACTAGGAGCACTAGGAGGTGCTGGGAGGCACTGGGAGGCACTGGGATGAGCACTAGGAGCACTAGGAGGTGCTGGGAGGCACTGGGAGGCACTGGGATGAGCACTAGGAGCACTAGGAGGTGCTGGGAGGCACTGGGAGGCACTGGGATGAGCACTAGGAGCACTAGGAGGTGCTGGGAGGCACTGGGAGGCACTGGGATGAGCACTAGGAGCACTAGGAGGTGCTGGGAGGCACTGGGAGGCACTGGGATGAGCACTAGGAGCACTAGGAGGTGCTGGGAGGCACTGGGAGGCACTGGGATGAGCACTAGGAGCACTAGGAGGTGCTGGGAGGCACTGGGAGGCACTGGGATGAGCACTAGGAGCACTAGGAGGTGCTGGGAGGCACTGGGAGGCACTGGGATGAGCACTAGGAGCACTAGGAGGTGCTGGGAGGCACTGGGAGGCACTGGGATGAGCACTAGGAGCACTAGGAGGTGCTGGGAGGCACTGGGAGGCACTGGGATGAGCACTAGGAGCACTAGGAGGTGCTGGGAGGCACTGGGAGGCACTGGGATGAGCACTAGGAGCACTAGGAGGTGCTGGGAGGCACTGGGAGGCACTGGGATGAGCACTAGGAGCACTAGGAGGTGCTGGGAGGCACTGGGAGGCACTGGGATGAGCACTAGGAGCACTAGGAGGTGCTGGGAGGCACTGGGAGGCACTGGGATGAGCACTAGGAGCACTAGGAGGTGCTGGGAGGCACTGGGAGGCACTGGGATGAGCACTAGGAGCACTAGGAGGTGCTGGGAGGCACTGGGAGGCACTGGGATGAGCACTAGGAGCACTAGGAGGTGCTGGGAGGCACTGGGAGGCACTGGGATGAGCGCTAGAAGCACTAGGAGGTGCTGGGAGGCACTGGGAGGCACTGGGATGGGCACTGGGGGCACTGGGAGGCACTGGGAGCGACTGGGGGGGGAAGGGGTTTAACCCGTGCATCCGCAAGGAGAAGGGAGAGGTGAGATGGGGACTGGGGTGGACTAGGAGGCAACTGGGGGTACTGGGAGGGACGGGGAGGGATGGGACGAGGCACTGGTATAGACTGTGGGGACACTGGGACGGGACACTGGGAGGAACTGGGGGAGCAATGGGACCAGGCAATGGGATAGACTGGGAGGACTGCTCGGGTCCTGGAGGAGGGGCCGGGAGGACACTGGCATAGGGCACTGGGAGAGACTGGGGGGACTGGGACAGGGCACTAGGAGGGCCTGGGGGGCAACGGGATAGCCTGGGAGGACTGGAGGATGCTGGGAGGGGGCACTGGGAGGAATTGGGACGGTTGGGGG